ACGGTCAACAAAATCTTTATGACATAAATGACATACAACTATCATACGCTAGGACACGAATGTCATATTGGATACTTTAGAAGACAAATGACATATTCTTAATAGTTCTGGTTTCCTAGTGGTATTAGCCCTATATTTTATACACATACTTAATACCTTGCATAACTACCAAAGATAAGCACGTTCCTCCCTTTTAGGCTAATAAAAAAATTAAAGTTCAATATTGTTCATATAATGTATATTTGTATTTATAGAGTGTAGACTACAACATATGGACATCTAATATAGATAAAACCTCATACATTATGTTGAATGAAAACTTGAAAAGGATGTCTTTTACAACCTATGATAATGCTAAAAGACTAAACCATTGAGCGTATATTTTTGTTAGGCGAATACTTCTATTGATCGTAAGATATTTGTATTAATTGCATGTATTTATATTAAGGGTTAATTATAACTATGTGTTGATTATTATGTTTTATTCATTATATAAATTATGAATTAATGCCTTGACTGAAAATTTTTCTCTCACTTAATGATAATGTGATGTTATATTGGTTAATCTGGTTAATCAATTAACCAAACCTATTATGCTTTAGTTTAGTTAATTTGGTTGTTGTATTAGTTTGGACGGTTTGATTCTGATATTGTATTCCATGATTAATGAAATTTAGACTTATTTGGTTTGATAATTACCATGGTAACCAATTGAACACTCCTACCCAACCCCTTCTTCTCATCCCCTCTCACCCTTCAATCTCCACATTCTTCATCTTCCTTATTCTTCTTCTTCTTCTTCTTCTTCTTCTTCTTCTTCTTCTTTACAGTCTTCTTCTTCTTTACAGTCTTCGTCTTCCCATTGTCATCTGTCTCGCCAAAGATGAAGAACCAGAAGTCGCCTCCGCCTCTAGGTCTCTAGTCTACCTCTGCTGTCTTGATTGTAGTTAAAGAATCAATACCCTAATTTGAACCCTCGATTAATGCATCCATCACCAATCTATGCACATAAATAATTAAGACTCCAACTCGAACCCACGACTGACGCCTCCATCGCCGATTGAGAGGAAAAGAATCAAGACCCATACCAGACCCTTGACTGTTGTTGAGGAAAAGAATCTGATCCAAAACCTTGATACATTGTCGCTTCACAGGGAAGCAGCAACCCAGATCCATACTCCGATGCATCTACTGTCGTTGCTTCAGGCTAACGACGTCATCACTTCCACTTGTAGACCTCTGAAGAGGATGTGTTTGTTGGATATTTGGTTGAACCGAACTAACCAAGTTAAACTAGTTTTTGGTTGAACCGACCAATCGGGTTGGGATTAGACCGACCGAACCAATATTCTAATTTCATGAAGGGACACATCCCTTTGGCCTAGTGGCGGTTGCATTATTTTATAGATTAGGATGACCTTATGGATAAGGACAACCTTATGGATAGAGACAACTTTTCATATGGATAAGAGAAACCTTTCGTATGGATAAAGACAACCCTTCATATGGATAGAGGCAACCTTTCATATGGATAAAGGCAACCCTTCATAAAACAATGCATGGATTCGGCCCCTATAAATATATGTGTGGGGTCGATGGTGCCACACACCATAAAACATATTCTTCTTCCTTCTTCCAAAAGCTTCCAAGTATGCTTTAGTATTCTTGAGTCTGGAACCTAAAGTGGTGATAGTTTTATCCTCGGGAGAAATTTCCTGTAACCCAAGGCTTTGTAGAGGGTGGAAATATTCTTTTCGGAAAGTGAACGTAGTTCACGACTCTATCATAATCCCAGTCACCCGTCCTCGGGCTATCGTATATACCTCGTCCTAAAAGTCCCAACAATAAAAAGAATATTTTCCGTTACGATGGCTCGAACTGCTGTTAACAAGAAACAGGTTCCGGTCTATGGAATTATGAGAATGTTCGATGATGAGTTTTCATCGATGGCAGCAGAAGATGGGTTTTCTTCGTACTAGTTTCAAGGTGTATTCCATATCCAGAAGGTAACTTGGAAGAGGGATGATTCAAAGATGATGAAGAAGGAGAATGATTCGTAAAATGGAGAAATAGACGAATGAAAATTGCCTTTGGGTAGGTCACATACTCAATGGTTACTTTGTCTAATTCTCTATTCGAAATTTATGAAGTTCTAGACAAATTTGATGGTGTGATTTTGTCTAGTGGTTTAAGTTATTTTGAACTAAAGAGACAAAAGTCTATATGCAATGTTTGATGATTTTAGTAATAGAGTCGTCATATGTTTGTATGTAGATGATATGCTTATCCTTGGGACCAATCAAAGATAAGTGGACTTTATGGAAAGGAGTTTTTCATATGAATTTTACACTTGTGGGACGTTAAGGAGGAAAATGTGATTCTGTGTATTGAATCGAGCGGAATGACACAAAAGATTATTTCCCTCAATTTTTCTGCATGAGAAGGTACTTGCAAAATTTCATAATAGGAATTGTCGTGAGTTAAAGCCCCAATGGATACAAGTATGGAAATTATGGTTAATAAGGGAAATCAGTTTTACAACTGGAGTGTTCCATGTTAAATTGGGGGCTTGATGAATGCATGACTTGCATGGTGTCTGATATCGCATATGCGATAGAACGATTAAGTCGGTACATGATGATATCAGACGCCCAAATATTTGAATATTCGTCAAGTATAATATACTAAGATGAAAATTCAATCGTCACGAGATTTTCATTTATGCATAAGTTTTTGTTGGAAGAATGTTGTGATTTTAGTGCATTCTATGAATACACTAAAATGGGGGGAGTGGGGAATGTTGGATATTTGGTTGAACTGAACTAACCAAGTTAAACTGGTTTTTGGTTGGACCGACCAATTGGTTTGGGATTAGACCGACCGAAACCAATATTCTAATTTAATGAAGGGACACATCCCTTTGGCCTAGTGGTGGTTGCATTATTTTATGGATAATGATGATCTTATGGATAAGGACAACCTTATGGATATAGATAACTTTTCATATGGATAAGGGCAACCTTTCATTTGGATAAAGGCAACCCTTCATATGGATAAGGATAACCTTTCATATGGATAGAGACAACCTTTCATATAAATAAAGACAACCTTTCGTATGGATAAATGCAACCGTTCATGAAACAATGCATGGATTCGGCCCCTATAAATATATGTGTGGGGTGGATGGTGCCACACACCATAAAACATATTCTTCTTCTTTCTTCCAAAAGCTTCCAAGTATGCTTTAGTATTCTTGAGTCTGGAACCTAAAGTGGTGATAGTTTTATCATTAGAAGAAATTTTCTGTAACCCAAGGCTTTGTAGAGGGTGGAAATATTCTTTTTGGAAAGTGAACGTGGTTCACGACTCTATCATAATCCTAGTCACCCGGTCTCGGGCTATCGTACATACACCCTCGTCCTAAAAGTCCTAAAAGCACCAACAGTGTTGGCGACAAAGCGAGGTTGATGGGCCATGGGTTCGTTTGGGTTCGATGACTACGTTTCCTGTAAGGATTGTAATTGGGAAATCTGGCGATAGAGAAGCAAGAAGAAGAAAAATGACAGAGGAAGGAATGGAGTTTCGTGAGTCTACATCTAACTACAATAGAAATTGGTAAAGTAGTTTACAACTCATTTATTGGATAAAAATTCCCCAATCACAAATGTAGTTCTTCTATTTATGCATTGGCCTCTCCTTTACACATCACTACTGCCAGCTATACCGGGTTGTTACAAACCCACATCCTTCAGGAACAATTTGTCCTTAAGATGTAACTATGATGGAAAGGAGGGGAATTGTTTCTTGAAGGTGTACAAATCCTCCCACGTAGCTTCTTTCTGGGTTTTGATGTGTCCATTGGACCAAGACTTGCATCACAACTCGGTTGTCTCAGATCACAAATATTCTAGCCAGGATGTGAGCTGGTGCGAGCTTCAAGGTGCACTAGTCTGAATCTGGAAGTTTGCAGAGTAACAGGGGGAGCGTGGATTTATATGTTTGATCACAAGAATGAAGATAATGGCACCAGAGCTATTAATGAAGATAATGACGTTGTTGAGAAGAAGGAAGAGATTACATGATTATAAAGATATAGGTTTTAGAGATGGAGAGGACTTTGTTATTAGTGGATATGAAAATGCCACTGATAACGAAGCAATCTTAAAGAAGTCCAAAACTATTTCTAGTAATTATGATATCATGGTTTGCTTAGTCTTTAAATGCTGGTTTCCTTGCATATGTTTTTTTCTTCATTTTCGGTAAGTACTTTCGTCGATGAATTGATTAAGATGTTGGAAAATTTTATAATGTATACTCCTTTTGGATTTTTTGGTAATTAAATAATTTGGATTCTTTATGATTTTAGAGAAAAATGTGTCATACTTTATATCATTGTAATTGTTGTTTAAGCCCTTGATCAAATGAACCCGACCATCGGGTCGGGCCCAAATATAGTAAATTGATAAAAAAAATTCTTAACTACATATTTTGGGTAATTTTTTGATACAATATTTATAAAAAACTAAAACGAATGTCAGGTTAAAGCTAGTTAATTAATGAAGTAGAATCTTCTATCGATCCACACAGAAAGGAACAAGCCAGAAGGGGAAACTCATGAACAATGGAGGCGATGGTGAAGGAGAACTCGCTGGAGGAAGGGAGTTTTTCGACAATTTTACATTTTTACTAAGGTTCCGACGAGTGTTTGATGGGAGTGTAGGAGGAAGAAAGAGATAATGGATTTAAAGAGTTTTGGGAATTGAGGCAAGAGAAAGATCAATTAGAACAAGATTTTTGGTCGACTTTAAACATATTATTGAGGCGAGCTCACTCATTATTTGACTGTGCTCGTCCCAACTCATTTATTGGATTTGTAAATTGGGAAATTTTTTTATTACTACAATATTTTGGGTATTTTTTTAAAAATCACAAAATTTCTGAAAAAAACCCAAATCGTGTCAGGTAAAATCCAATTAATTAAATGAAGTAGAATCTTGTATCCGTACACACAATTCACAAATAAGGAACAAGGCCCGAAGGGGGAAACTCACAAACAATGGCGACTATGGTGGAGGAAAACTCAACGGAACAAACCCTACCGGAAGAGATGCAGCAGCAGCAGCAGAAGCCCGGGAGCAGTAGTAGTAATGGTGATAAAAACCCCAGCCAGTCGCAGGTATGGATGACGATGGCTCAAGCTTGGCTGTCCGCCTTCCCCGACGCCAAGGCTGTGAGTACCGCCGATGTCGAGGCCTGGATCGAGTCCAATTACAGCTCTTTACCAACCGACCTTCAGTCCATGCCTCGCTCCGAGATCATCCATCGCCTCCTCTCCATTCAGAACTACATGAGACCTTCTCCTCAGGTTCCTTTGCCCATTCATTGCCTGCCTTCCCACAAGTTCATTCTCCTGGACTTGTGCCTTCTCGTTGTCCGTTCAATTGCTCGACTTTCCCCTCGCATGTGTCGCTTTGAACTGGTTACCTAGTTGATTGATTCTAGGGTTTCAAGAACGTGATTGAAACTGATTGTTATTATTCCCCGCCCATTGCTCTCGCCTCTCAGGGCAACAAGTTTATGTTTTGGAAGACTGGATTGGAATTGTTTAGATGGGTAAGCGTTAGTCTTCTGGAATCAGATAATTGGAGTAGTCAGTGACGAGTTCATTGAATGTGTAATAACACAGGCAAACCCTCTTTCCACTTTGAGTCTCCTTGTGTTCTCTTTAGTGGTGTGATCTTTTTACTGATACAAGTGATGACCCAAGAGCTTGTATGCAAAGATTGGACTTTTTCCAACCTTTCGGTAGAGTAAAGACTGGACTTTTTATTCTGTAATAATCTTTGTAATCAGTTGCTTTCTCTTTTTGTAGCCGGTGGCAGTGGTGAAACCAGTTGACATCTCAAGCGATATTCCCAGCTACCGATTCCAACGCACAGATAGATGGCTGCCAGTTTATTCATGGTTGGAGACCTTGGACAGTGACGAGGTGGTTAAGTCTAAAGAAATCTATGACTGGTTAGATTCCAACCCAGATATCAAAGAAGACTTGTTCTCCAGACACTCGCGGTACCATTTGATGCATTACATCAAGAAGTGCCATTTCAAGATACTCAAGAAGAGGGATAAAAAGAAGGTCCGGACTAGATTTCATATTGTTAAAACTTTTTCCCTAGAAGATGGACTAATTACTTTGCTTGCCCTGTTGTTTGAATTGTTTGTATGATAATAAGCTTATGGCTTTCAATGGCACAGGAATCCCAGCAGGCAGACAAACCAATCTCGCCCAATGCACACAATAGTATTGTGGAGTTTAAGGAACCACCAGCACCACCTGCAACTATAAGTATGTCTTATTACTGAAAATCATTCAGACTGTTTGCACTGTTTACCCCCCACCCCCCTTGGAGTGCAGCCTTTACTTGAAGCTGTAACTCATATCTGATTCGTTTTCTTTTTGTGTTGAAATGAATGTTGCAGGCAAACAACTGATCAGTATACCCAAAGATAGTGACCTGTATGCAGCCAAAAGAAATGAAGCTGTTCAAAAGTATGAGATGTGAGTGCTTTCCTTCTCCCCATTTCGGATGTTCTTTGTCTACATTGTACATCAGTACATGATTAATGATTGAAGTTCTTAATTTCAGCTTATTGGAGTTGGAGAAGAAGCTCATGCCTCACTTTTCGAAGCGCCAAAAGCTGCAATGAAGCGATCTTACTTGACGGTCGAGATTTTTGCCCTGATTTATGTCAACTCCTAGCGGTAGTGAATCAAGTTATTGTAAGTAGGCAAACTCCACTGACTTGAGAAGTCGATGCAGCCGAGGAAAGAAGAAAACCACTGTCTATTAGTGTAAAATATGGAATGTAGGGGGCTAAGGAACTGCTCTGCCTTGTCCCCCATCCCTTACAGCTTGATGTGCGTGGCTGAGTTGCTGGCCTGGCTGGCATCCCATATGTGCTGAATGAAGCTAGGCAGTTGAAAAGTTGAAAAAGAGTGGGACGATGATATCTAGAGCAATTGGTGTTGGAATGAAGGATGGGCCTCCAAGTGGGGTGTTTTTCTCATCTCATCAATCCGTTGGCGCTTGTAGTTTTCAAGAGAAGTCTCTTAGTCTTTAATTAATCATTTGGCTTGTTGGGATAGAAAGAAATGACGCATATTGTAAACTGGAATGATGCTTTTATTTTTTCTAATCAAAATTGAAGCAATGTCTTGGATATTACCGTCCCACTGCTGGAAAGCAGAAGCCAGAAACAGAGAATGGAAGGCCAAATGGGAGATCTGACACAACTCTGCAAACCAAACCCCACGAAACACCATGGAAATGAATTATGATGATATCAAGATGAAGAAGTAATAGCAGGATTAACAGGAACGAAAATCCATTCCAATCCAATCCAACACGCCCCGCCACGATAATCCTTTTAAGAAACCACCTGGGTCGGAATTCAATTTATCATAACAAGTTAACCCAATATCCAAACACTGGAATATCCCAATCCGAGTCCCGCAAATCTGTCCCTAGAAAGAAAAAACAAGCAGTTGCCCAGTAGTTGCTTGGGAAAGAAGTCCCCCTCTGCCTCTAGGAGGTGCGGGGAAAAAGACAAAACCGAGAATGGCATCATCATAAGGGCAGAGTTCGCAATTTTCCAGGCTCAGCTTAGAAGCCCCGGTATAAAAACAGAGCAATCAATCCATTACCAGAGTCACGCACTCACTCACTCTGCCGGCCTTGTATTTGTTTCTCCATCCATACAGAACAGGGGCGGGAGCTCCGAGGAAGGCTGAAGATGGTCATGCCGTGTGTACTTCTTCTTCTTCTACAATGTCTGGCTTTCAATCAAGCAGCTGGAGCCATGGCTTCTGGCGGGGAGCAGCCGCTTGCCCAGATTGGCATCCACCGTGCTGTCTTCGCTCTCCACCGAAACGCTTCTATCAAAGCAACTCACTCCCTTCTCGGCACCAAGGTCGCTCACAAACAACTTCCCCTGCTTCTCGTCCTCGTTGTTTTCTCTTCCTTCTTTCTGGGTCCGAAAAAAGTTTGGTGCTTAGATGGATGGATGGTTGTTGTTTTCGTTGACAGGGAGAAGACAGTGAATGGGTAACTGTCAAATTCCGTATTCCCACGGCTTCCCCAGACTATTGGATTGCTGTGTTTTCTCCTGCCAAATTCAAGTAATGCCCTTTTTCTTCCCAGCTTTCGGCCCTCTTCTTCTTGCTCTCTGGTTTCTCTTCCCACCACTATTGGATTGCATTTATGTATGGGTTTTTGTTCTGGGCAGCTCATCATCTTGTCCAGCAGGCGATGAAAGGCGGGTGCAGCCGCCATACATATGTTCTGCTCCAATTAAGGTACTTTACTGCTCTGCTCTCCTATTTTCTCCATCTATCTTCCATTTCATTTTCAGTTTCTTCTCTACTTGACTCCCCACTTTTCCCATCTCTCCAGTACAAATTTGCGAATGAGTCCAGCTCCAAGTATGCAAAGACAGGAAAGGGGTCTTTGAAATTCCAACTCATCAACCAGCGCCAGGACTTCTCTTTCGCCTTGTTTTCCGGTGGATTATCAAACGTAAGAACATGCCCAATAATCAACCATACCACTTTCGATTCACAAACTAAACTATTGGATTTCCTGTGTGGATAATGCAGCCAACCCTGGTAGCAGTCTCTGCGCCCATTAGTTTCGCGAATCCAAAGGCGCCCCTTTATCCTCGCCTTGCTCAAGGGAAGTCTTGGAATGAAGTAAGCCAGTTAGTTAGTCCCCATTGTTTCTCTACTGTCTTCACTTACATTCGCTTCAATTCAAGATTCGTATCTTCTCTCATGACGCGCAGATGACAGTAACCTGGACGAGCGGCTACAACATCGATGAAGCCGTCCCTTTTCTTCAATGGGGTCTGAAAGGAGATACTCAAATTCGATCACCAGCTGGAACCCTAACGTTTAACAGAAACAGCATGTGTGGTATGTCCCTTTTCTTCCTTCTCTTCCCTAAGCGAAGATGGCTGAGAGATTCCATTTCCCAAACCTGATTACTTACAAGAACTTACAAGTGTGTGTTGCTTGTTTGTTTGTGAAGGCCCCCCTGCAAGAACAGTCGGCTGGCGCGATCCTGGCTTCTTTCACACCAGTTTCCTCAAAGATTTGTGGCCAAACTCGGTGTAAGATTTCTCTTTAATTCTATCTATGTCCCCCATCAGCAGTTTTTCGTGGTTCTTCTGATTGTGTTCTTGGCAACTTTTTTCTGCTTTTTCAAGCTACACTTACAAGATGGGTCATATGCTATCCAACAATGGATCAATCGTGTGGAGCAAGAGCTATTCCTTCAAATCATCCCCTTATCCAGGACAAGACTCATTGCAGCGTGTCATCATTTTTGGTGACATGGGGAAAGTAAGAAAACATTTCCCAACTATTACTCTAGATGAAAATCAACAAACAAAGATAAACATGAACAATGGAACTTTTATCCTAATGAATCTCTCTTTTGTTGCATTCTTTTCTCAATATTTGTGATGAGTAAGGCTGAACGCGACGGCTCCAATGAGTACAGCAACTATCAGCCAGGGTCACTCAACACCACAGATACATTGATCAAGGATTTGGACAATTACGACATTGTGTTTCATATAGGTGACATCTCATATGCCAATGGCTACATCTCTCAATGGGATCAGTTCACACAAATGGTCGAGCCCATTGCATCAACCGTGCCTTACATGGTCGCCAGGTTTGTGCTTACACATATATTTGGGGATGTACAACCTTCTTCCTCTCTATCTATAGTGTGGTGAGGAAGGGAACCCATTAGAAGGAAAAACAAAAAGAATCAAACAACCTTTTTCTTCTTCACATCTACAGTGGGAATCATGAACGTGACTACCCAGGTTCCGGATCCTTCTATGACACGAATGATTCAGGTGGCGAATGTGGAGTCGTAGCAGAGACGATGTTCTACGTCCCAGCTGAAAACAGAGCCAAGTTTTGGTTAGTACTATTGGAGCTGGAAGAAAACAATACTTGCACGTTACTTAAATCTCACGTCACATTAAACAAACTTTTCACCCCATTTCATCTTCACAGGTATTCAACAGATTATGGGATGTTCCATTTCTGCGTAGCTGACACGGAACACGACTGGAGGGAAGGCTCCGAACAATACAAGTTCATAGAGAAGTGCCTTGCCTCGGCCGACAGACAAAAGCAGCCATGGCTGGTCTTCATAGCTCACAGAGTCCTCGGCTACTCTTCAAACTCCTTCTACGCGATGCAAGGATCGTTCGAGGAGCCCATGGGTCGAGATGACATGCAGAAGCTGTGGCAGAAGTACAAAGTGGATATTGCATTCTTTGGCCATGTCCATAACTATGAAAGAACTTGCCCCATCTACCAGGTATAAGAGGTCGAGAATCTTTGGGTGGATTCCCTGCGAAACTCCCTTAGTGCATTGATACATTTTGCTTTCGTGACAGAACATATGCGTGAACAAGGAGAAGACGCACTACTCGGGCACAGTAAATGGAACAATCAACGTTGTGGTTGGAGGTGGAGGGAGCCATTTGTCAGATTTCACTCCATTGCAGACATACTGGAGCATTTACAAAGACCACGACTATGGGTTTGTGAAGTTGACAGCTTACAATCATTCCTCGCTTCTATTCGAGTACAAGAAGAGCAGCGATGGAGTGGTTTATGATTCATTCACCATTTCGAGGGACTACAGGGATGTTTTGGCTTGTGTCCATGACGGATGTGAAGCAACTACATGGGCCATGTGAAGCACACACATTATACTCATACATACAATACAATATTGACTGTGTTTGAAATTTTTGGTAGAAAATTGTAGTCCACCTCAGTCTTGATCATGCATACGAATACCATAATATATGAAAAAACTAATTTTCCAATTTTTTTGTTAGATTAAATGCATGAGTCCAATTACAACTTGACGCCAAGAACTCGTACAGAAGATACAGAACCAGTTAGATAGACCTTAAGCAGCAAACATTGCTTCTAACACTGCTCCTCCGCCTATCGATGTTGCAAACTTTGAGCTTTTAACATCAAAATTCCAAATGGACCATAATGTTGGCCGATTTGGAGGAACATAGGCCGACACTATTGTCCAATATTTGAAAACTTCTATGGAGATATGCGATTCAGTGTATTTCTACGGAATTACTATATATAGCGATTGGGATACACATGTTTCCCTTCCCACTAATGGAAAATGCAAAGGTTTGGATGGATTTGCATCTAGGATGGACTTGGACATGCTTTCTTGAAGGAATATTCTCTTCTTGAAGGAGTGAGGAACTCAAACAAAACTATCTCACTTTGGAGAGACAACCATTGTATGATATCTAACGAAGATTCTAGAGACTTTTTCATGCTAGTCCAGACCATGAGGTTTGGCTAGGAGAGGCTTGCCGATATTTTGCCAAGGGGCTAGACAACGGGAATAAGTTATTCTTGTGGAAAAAAGATGCTAGAGTGAGTTCATTAATGATAGAAAAATATAACAATGTTTCAAAATACTAAAACAACGTGATCTTAACGGTCAGGCACACCTACCGGGTTGTTGATCCAATTCACATGAGATCGATGCATTGTTTGCTCAGTTAATTACGTTGCATCTCTTGACTCGGGATGGATATGCAATGTTGGATCATATTTATCGACTGCCATCTATCATTAAATATTATAAAGTAAACAAATCGTGAAAATATAAAATTTCAAATTATAAGAAAATTTTTCTGGTGCGGAAGGTCGGGATTAGTCACAACTGTAGAGCATACTAAGAATATTTAAACTTGGAGTATTTTGGATAAAAATCCTTACAATTAAAAGAACCCTCAACGAGTCAATCACGGTTTAAATCATTAAGATATTATTGATCTTACAGTGTCCCACCAATGATTCGCGTTGATAAAATCACAAAATAAATCAAATGTACGTGATGGAACTTTATTTATAGTGTTTGTTTAAATCACAAATATTTTATCAATGAGCCTTTAATAGACCTAGGCAATGTTTTTGTACTCTTTGATGCCTTCTTGGTATTTTTGATGGTTTTGAAGGTACAAAGCAACATAATGATGGTTGAACAGAGGAAGAAAATTCGGCCCATGGAGGACCAAATGTGCTATAAAGAGAAGATTAAACAGCTTTCATGAGAGAGAAGAGGTCCAAGGCCCTAGCATCGGATCCAACCGCCGCTATCGGAGACATCTCAAAACGTGTCCAAATCTTAATCAAGAGAAGTCAATGGACCAAGAAGCCTATGCAACGAAGAAAAAGAGCAGTAGGTCCAACCGCCCTCGACCGTAAACCTTGT